CATCTTGAGGCCAGCTTTGGCGTCTTGGGCCGATCTTTGGGCGTCTCGGGGCCCTCTGGGGCCGTCCTGCAGGCCGCTTGGGGCCAGCTTGGCCCGTCTCGGGGCCCTCCTAGGCCCGACCAATTCACGCGCCACGAGCCCGGGGGGCACGCGCCAAGCCCCGAGAGATTTGAGAGCGAGGGGTCCGGGCAAGGACTCCTCGGGAGTGAGGATTGCGGCTCGGAGGATTGGGCCCAGGACCTGAGGACACGCCCACTCCGTGCCCAGCGGAACGGTGGCGGATCTCCTTGCTGCAGCAACGAAGGGGTTGCCTATCCGTCGCCGTTTTGGCTCAAGGCGTTGGGCTCGCAGCCAAGGTTTGATCGGTTTGATCGCTCCTCGTGTCTGCGATCGTGTGCACGATCTTTGTACCTGTACGACCACTCTTCGGGTGGTAAGAAGGTTCCAGGGGGTAGGAACCAACGTCTCACTCAATCGGTCTGACTATCGATCTCAAGGTCGATCACACGATCGATCACCATCGATCTCGCTATCAATCTCATTGGCAATCTCACAACCGATTGCACTATCGATCTCACTATCAAGCTCGATATCGCTTTCACTGTCGATCTCACTATCGATCCCACGATCGATATCACTATCGATCTCAATATCGATCCCACTATCGATCTCAATATCGATGTCACTATCAATATCACCATCGATCTCACTATCGATATCACTACCGATCTCACTATCAAGCTCACTATCGATCCACTATCGATCCACTATCGATCTCACTATCGATCTCACGATCGATGTCCGGATCGATCTCACTGTCAATCTCGCTATAAATCTCAGAACCGACCTCACTCGATCTCACTATCGATCTCAATACCGGTCTCACTATTGATCTCACTATCGAATTCACTACGGGACAGACGGGACACCGACGGGACACTGGAGGGACACCGGAGGGCCAATCTTTTGGCCTGGCGGCGCCCCAGCCAGAGAAGGGTTCATTCCTTTCGCCCGCTCACGCAGCCCCGCACGCCCGACACGAACACGAAACCGACACCGAGTTCCTAGCGGGGGGCTCTCCGTTTCGCTGTGATCTCACCTTTTCACCTACCCTTTCACCTCCGATAAGTTACATTTGTGCTACGCATGCTCCTAATTCGCTGACCAGCACTTTGAAGCGGTCGGGATATCGTGACTGTCATTGTACAGGCGAGGCAATGCATGGGGACCAACCAAGGTTGAGAATTGATGGACGTTTCTGCAATCTTGAGGGAGCTCGCAGCAATGTTGAGCTCCAGGGCACTTGCGGCATGGCCCACACGCAACGCCATTTCTTATCGGGGCACTCCGCAGGACAAGAGCGTTGTCGTAGTAACAACGGCGTCATCCAGAGTCGCCAGGCGCTGAGGCAGCTTACCAACAAGGGCTTCGACTGTGATGGGAACACGGACGCAGAGCTGCTTGCGAATCGAGTGTCTTGTGCACGACATACGGGAGTGCCTTCCCAATGCCAAGTGGGCTGGTGTCCGGTGGTGGCCGTGGCGTTGCAGAGGGTCCAGGGCGCGAACGGTCTCGTCGAACCTGAACAGGCCTCCCTGGCTACGCCTACGACTACGGCTCTGGCCGCTTCTTATGTAACGCCCACATGCACCTCGACAACACCTACGAAAGAACGTGCACGCAGCGCTGGGAATAAGGAAAGGGGGTCCCCAGCCCAGCTTCAAGTTAACCCCCCTCCCTTGGAAAATCGAGTCCGAAGCTACCACCACCCTCCTCCTTTTGTAGGCAATTTTTGACTGGGGGGGTCCAGCTAAAGGGGGTTTGGGGGGCCCGGCGGCAATGTTTCATTGTGGGGGGCCCAGCTAAAGGGCGTTGGGGGGGCCCCAGCTGAGGGGGGGGGGGGGGCGTCGAAGCCCCCCTCCCTCTTCCAATGCCTTTTCGGGGCCCGGGGTAAGCCCTGGCCTTTGCAAAGCAGGGGAGGGCTTCCGAAGCTCCCCCCCGCTCTCCCCTTTTTTCTGCATTTTGTAGCTGGGGGTCCCTGGCTAAAAGGTGGGGGCGAGCTTTGAAGCTGCACCTCCCTCCCCCCTTTTCGGAGCCCAGGGTAAGCCCCGGCTCCCCTTTCCAAGGAGGTTGGGGGCTTCTGGAGCTACACCCCCCGTCCCCTCCTTCAGTTGGCCTTTCCAGCTGGAGGGCCCTGGCTGAACGGGCGGGGCTTCGAAACTACCTTTCCCCTTTAATTTTCGGTGCCCCTTTTGCTTTCGATGCCATTTTGGTGTTCGGCGCCCCAGTGGTTCTCGGTGCCCTTTTGCTTTTCGGCGCCCTTGTGGTTTTCGGCGTCCCTTTGGTTTTCGGCGCCGCTTCGGTCTTCGGCGCCTCTTTGGTTTTCGGCGCCTCTTTGGTTTTCGGCGCCCTGTTGGTTTCCTGCGAACCTTTGGTTTTCGGCGCTACGGTTTTCTGAGCACCGCTTGATTTTCTGCGCATCGCTGGTTTCGTCGCCCTTGGTGTTTCCAGCGCCCCGTTTTGATTTCGGCGCCCTTTTGATTTTTGGTGTCTTTTTTGTTTTCGGCGGTCCTTTTGCTTTCGGCGCCTTCTTTGTTGTGCCCTGTTAGTTTTCGGCGTTCTGTTGGTTTTCGGCGCTCCTTCGGTTTTCGGCGCTTCTTTGATTTTCGGCGCCTCTTTGGTGTTCGGCGTTCCTTCTGTTTTCGGCGCCCCTTTGGTTGTCGTAGCCCTCTTGGTGTTTGATGCCTCTTTGATTTTCGACCCCGCTTTGGATTTCGGCGCCCGTTTTGGTTTTCGGCGCCCTTTTTGTTTTCTTAGCCATTCTGGTTTTCGGTGCCTCTTTACTTTTCGGCTCCTCTTCAGTTTTCCGTGCCCCTTCTGTTTTCGGCGCCGTTTTTGTTGTTGGCTCGCTTTTGGTTTTCGGCGTCTTTAGGGATTTTCGGCGCCCCCTTTGTTTTCGGCGCCCTTTCGGTCTTCGGTGGCCCTTTGGTTTTCGGTCCCCCTTTGGTTTTTGGCACGCCCTGTTGGTTTTCGGCGCCTCTTTGGTGTTCGGCCCTTTTTGGTTTTCGGCGCAGTCTTGTGTATTTTCTTGCGTTTTTTTTTTTAAGTTCGGCGCCCCTTTTCGTTGTCGGCGCCCTTTCGATGTCGGTTTTCGGCGCGTTTTTGGTATTCGGCTCCTCCTTTTCATTTCCGTACCCTTGCGTTTTTCGGCGCCCCTTCTGTTTCCGGCTCCCTTGCGGTTTTCGGCGTTGCCTTGGTTGTCGGAGCTCTTCTGTTTCGGTGTCTTTTTGGTTTCCGGCGCCCTTTTTGATTTCGGCACCCCTTTGGTTTTCAGCGCCTCTTTGGTTTTCGGCGCCTTTTTGGTTTTCGGCGCATCTCTGGTTTTCGGCGCCCCGCTGGCCCTTCTTGGTTTGCGGCGCCTCTTTGGTTTTCCGCGTTCTTTTGGTTTTCGGCGCCGTCTTGTTTACTTGTTTGGCATTTGAAAGTGTTCGACGCCCCTTGAGTTTGCGGCGCCCTTTTGGTTTTCGGCGCCCCTTTGGCGCCCTTTCCGTTTTCGGCTCCGCTTCGGTATTCGGCGCCCTTTCCGTTTTCGGCGTCCTTTCGGTTTTCGATGGCCCTCCGGTTTTTGGCGCTCGTGTGGTTTTCGGCGCCCTTTGGTTTTTGGTGCCGCTTCCTTTTATCCAAAGGGAGGGGGCTTCCATGCCTCCCTCCCCCCGTTTAAAGAGGGGGCGGACTTCCGGCAAGGTTGGTTCACAGGGAGGGGGCGGAGCTAAGCCCCCCCCTTTCGGAAACGAGGGGAGGGGGTGGTAGCTTCGGGAGGAAAAGGGGGGAGGGGGGGATAGTTTCTACAGGGCGGAAGATGGGGGGAGGGGGGGTTTCCGGCAGAGGGGGGTTCAAAAGGCGTGAGGGGGGGCGAGCTTCCGGAGCGCGAAAGGGGGGGAGGGGGGGGGGTAGCTTCCGAGGGACACGAAAAAAAAGGGGGGAGGGGGGGGGTGCTTCGGGAAGGGGCGGGGGGGGGGAGGTGATGGAGGACCCCCCCTTTCTTCAGCGCTGCGCGCGCGCTCTCTCACACATACGCCTGCGCATGCGCCCCCTGCCACGCCTGCACCCACGACCCCGGCCACAGTTCCGCCGACGGCCTTGGCTACAATTTCGGCGGCCAAGCCAACGGCTACGCCTGCAATTACTTTTTTTGCATCGCCCGCGCTTCTGAATTCGTGTACGCTTGTTGCGATGACTACACCCGCGGCCCTGGCAACGCGGGCGCCCACTGTTTCAGCGGCGCCTGCGTCCACGACGACAACGCGCCCGCGGCTGCGCCCATGCCTACGCCTACTCCGGCTGCCTCGCCTGCACCCGAGGCCCCGTGCTACGTCAATTCATGAGGCCTCGGATCTCCTTGTGGGTACGACTAGTGCTTCGATTTGACCAACTTCAAACATCGAATACACGTTTTTGTTGACTGTTGGTGCGAGCGTCAAGGACTTGGGTATCGCAGTGTACGGCATTTGCAGTCGTGTTTTGTTGCCCCTGCCCTCTTCGAGTGGGAGGTAGCTATCAGCACGCCAAGCGTCGCGCACCAGCGAGTTGCGAGTGTTTGTTGGACCAGCGCGCCCAACACAGAAGTGATCTGTTGTGCCCCAGTTATGTTTTGGATGGAGACTGTAACGTGGGGGATCCAAGTCCGATGTGATCGGATCGAAAGTGATGTTTCCTTTTGTTTCCTCATCCCTCCCCGCTCTCTCCTGCCAGAGCCCATGTTTCCACTTCTGGAGCCCTCTGAAGTCTCCTCCCCGCCCCCATCCTCCCTCCTCCACCTCCCCTCTACTCCTTCCCATCCTTCCCCACCCCCTTTGCCTGACGACGACGACGGCGACGGCGAAAGCGGCGACGGCGAGGACGACGGCGAGGACGAGAACGGCGACGGCAACGGCCAGAGGCGGCGGCGACTTCGGTGGCGGCGGCGACAGCCGCGCCGCGCCACCGCGGCCTCGCGCGAGGGCCGCTCGCCGCTTCCCTCGCCCAGGGGGTCCGCAGGCGCCCTGGGGGCTGCCGCTAAGGGGGGACGGTCGCGGGGGCGCGGTGCGGGGGGGCAGGTGGCGAGGCGCAGGGGTGGATGATCCGCAGGGCGCGTGTTATCCCAATGTGTGTGTGCGCGTGCGTGCGAAGTGCTGAGCCGGGGTCGGCCCTCGTTGCACTGCCTGCGTTGTACTGAAGGGCTTCGGAGGGCAAGTTCACGCTGGCGCTGATACACGTTCTGAGGATGCGTGCCTTGCCCATCATGTAAAATCCGACGAGGTGTTCAATCTGGCTCGTCTCGATTCGATGTGCACCTCGCTTCGCGCGGCCGGAAATTCTGAATCTCCGCCCCGCTAGTTCCGCTGTCTGGCCCCCCGTCGGTTTCTGGGCCCCGTCGAACCTTGATTTGGGGAAACATGATTGTGGTCCCAGTGTAATTGGGGCCCGGCTCGCAAAACATCGGGATCTGCGAATTGTGGGAATGTACGTGCGAATTTTAGTGGCGCCGCTGCGTTGCTGAACCTCGCCCCGTTTCTGCCCTCCGACAACTGTCAGTTCACCAGCAGAACTCATCGGATGGTTCCCCGGGTGGTTTCGGAGAGCCAGGTTGATTTCGCGCCCCAATCCGCAGTTGACGGCGCCCCTGGGCCTGATGGGATCCCCTACAGTGCCTAGGCCCCCATTTTATCATCAGGAATGCGCTGCAGTACCACTTCCATGCGTTTGTGTCGACTCGGATGTTTGCGGACGAGTCCAACCATTCCAAGCTCGCGTTTCTTCCTCAGCGTGTTGCGACACCCAGGTCCGTTGTTGAGGCGTGTTTCGGTGCCCGACCGATCACCCTCAGCCACGCGGAGGGCGCGTGGCCTTGTGACACGGCCGTCGACCGACTCTACACAGCGTGGCTTTGTGGCAGGGCCATCGGTGGCAGACGACATTACTCTTCGGTTCGATGGTCGCCCGATAATGTGGCAGGCTCGCGAACATTTGACGACGGCCGGCGCTGTCACGTTCGATCAGAAGGGCGCGCTTCCCTTCATCCATCATCTATGGTTCTTTCCTGTGCTGGCCCGTTGGAATCGCCCGCCTTTGTCTTTTTCAACTGTATTCGCGCGCTGTGTGTCGGCGCGCGTGATGCGTTGTTTCAGTGCGTGGATGCGACTGCAGAGGGTTCTGGGCCAGGTGGGGTGTCAAACGGGGGGTCCTCTCAGCGCTTAAGTATGCGCCTACCCCTTCGATCCCAGCTTCCTTGCTCTTCTCTCTTGTCAGACTCCAGCCCCCGCTGTGTCCGACGGCATTTACGGACGACCTTGCCATTGCCAGTGGAGACATGGTAGGGGTATTGCCAATCGTGGTTGGGTCCGCAGCTGAACTGTCCCAAGCGTTTGCTGATTATTTAATCGCTTCGCTCATTCCGCCGGCCCTGCTTGGGAGCTTCTTGGGAGCGTCTTGGGGCTCCTTGGCGGCGTCTTGGGCTCCCCTGGGGCCTCTTAGGGGGGCTCTTGGGGGCCCCTTGGGGCGGGAGGGGGGGTCGTCGATTGCAGCCACCCCCTCGGAGGCCACGATCCTCCTGAGGGGTGACGAAAAATAGCCTCCCCCCTGGGGATCGCCCGGGACCCGGCCGGGACCCGGCCGGGGGTCAACCGGGGTATTTTTCGTCCAGGGGCCCCCAGGGGCCGCCCCGCGCGCGCGAACTAGAAATTTTGTAAGTAGTTACCGGAGATTTTAGCACGCCTCTGGCCCGTTGGGCCGGCGAATTCCGCGGCCACATGACAATGGGATGGCGATCCGCATGCATCGGAGCTTAGGTGTTAGCCATCAGCTCCTGGAAACGCCGTGTGGTAGGGATAAGTTTCGGCATTGAATTGGCCTCAGTGCCGCCAGTCTTGCATGGGATGACGTGGGCCAGAAGTTTCGGGCGCGATCTGCAGAGGTCACAAGCCAAGCATTCTGCTTTGGTTTGACAACCAAGTATGCTTGTGTATAGATGTATCTCAACTTCACACGGTGACATCAGAAGGTATCAGGTTTGATTGTGAAGGTCAGCAGCTGTTGTCATGGGCCCCGCGTTGTTCATTGCCACCAGCTGTGATGCAAAGTGGCACGGCCTTCGGGTGCACGCTGCAATGCTGCTCCCTCCGTGCCAGTGCCAGAGCTGCATTGATCTGCGATGCAGCCCACTCCGACGTGTTTCTACAACTTCATTGTGATATCCAAGACAGGGCATAGCAGAAAGATGTCGTGATTCCTTAGAGTGGTCAGTAGCGTACAGGGGATCAGGCCTCTTCCAGATGTACCGCGTGTATGACGAGTACCTGCGGCCCTGTGGACATCTCCAACCGTAGAACTGCACAAGGTACTATAACAGGTGTTATCCGACGGAGTTTTGAAACCTCCACCCCTTTGCTCCCCTTCTGGCTTCCAGGGTTCACAAATGGGTTCCAGAGACCTCCTTAGATGAGCTTGACCTTACGATGCTCGGAACGCGCCAGGAAGGTATGGACAACAGGTCAAACCGTGTGTGGATGCGTGCGGCTGTGCAGAAGTGGGCGACATATGCCAGGAACGTCGCCCTAGGTCGGTTACGGGCGATTGGGGAGCGCTCCCAGGCTGTCCGTCGCCTTGCACAGGTGGTGGGCCCCACGCGGGTGCCATCGGGCAGGCGAGGTGGGTAGGATCGAGCTCATCATTCCCCAAAGGTGCGCCTCCTCCTCCTCCCTCCTCCTCCTCCCTCCTCAGTCTCCAGATTCACCTCCTTCTCCTCCCTCCTCGCTCTCCTTCTATTTGATCCCCCCCCCGGCGCCGCGACCAGCCGGACAGGCATGGCTGGAGCCCGCCCGCTTTGGCAGGGGCCAATGGCAGGCAACCAGGGGCACCATGGGTGAGTCATGAGCGGCGAACGCATCCATATCCGCACCCTCGCGGTCTGGACTACGGGGCGCGATGCCGCGGGCATGCGGTCGCATGGATACATCTCGCGCGGGGCATCCGCAACAAAACGCACCGTATCCGCTGGGCGTGGCCCAGGTCCCGGCCCGCGGGGCCGCGGATACGGATATGTCATGCGCCCACGATCTTGGTGGGTGCTGCAGTCTGTTCACACAGCGTCCCGAGCCCCGCCCGCCACTCTCATGGAGAGGAAAGCGATGGAGGAGGAGGGGGAGGGCATAGGAGGAGGAGGAGGAGGAGGAGGAGGAGGAGGAGGAGGAGGAGGAGGAGGAGGAGGACGCAGGGCCGAAGTAAACCCTGGACGCGTCAAGGATGCTGTAGCATATCCTCCCGCCTCAAGCTCCTCCAACAAGTATGCCTCTTCACTGCAAGCATCGCCCCTTGAAAGAGGAATGGCCCATGGGCCTGCCATGTCAGGCGAGAGCCCAGATTCAAACATAATCGCTATGCACCGTTTTGGTTGCAAGGGAACCGAATAGTTTGAATCCTGCAGTTCTCCAAGACATGCGAAGGGAGAGAACACTTTTGAGCAAGAGCCTTTCTCATCCTTGTAAATGCTGGGCGATCTTAAACGCACGGCCATTAACTAGTGGCATTCAAGTCGGATCCCAATGTTGAACGTAACCGCCCTCCACACATTCGCAAGTGCTGCAACATGCTAGCTGTTCCCACCATTTTGACGGAATAAGTGTCCAGCAAACTGTTAGTTTTGAAATGGAGCGGCCTTCGATGTATGTGAGTGTGTCGAGTTGTGTGAAATCAATGATGTGCGCGGAGTTAGCGCGAGGGCCACACCTTGCAGGGGAACCGCCCTCCATTCTTACATCGGCTTGGAGATTTCAATTCGAATGTGCGTAGCTTTGAGGGAGGTGATAGCCACACTGAGAAGCGGGCCGCCCGCCCATTATCGAAGACGCCTACTGCGAATCACCGCCGCCCCCTGCCATTGTGGAAGCGCCTGTGTGTTTGACAGCTGGGCTATAGATTGGCCAAGCTATCGGGCCAGTTGGTCCCCGAGACGGTTTGGAAAGACTTCGGGGAACGCGGGGGGGAGGAAGGGGAGGAGTAGGAGAACAAGGAAAAAGGAGAAGGGGGAGGAGGCCTCTTCGGAGCCTCCTGAGGCACTCTCGGGCTCGATTGGACCACCTTGGGACCGTCTTGGAGGCCATGTTGGGGCTATCTTGGGCTCTCTTGGAGCCTGTTGAGTGCCTCTTGGGGCCCTTTGGGGGCTTCTCCGGAGCTTCTTTGGCAGTGTTATGGCGTTCCTGGCCCGTCTGACGCTGTCGGGAGCCGTCTTGGGGGCCTCTCTGAACCGACTTGGGGCTCTCTTGGGGCGCTTCGGGTCCGTCTTTGAGGCCATCTTGGGCGTCTTGGAGGCCTCTTTGGCCGTCTTGGGGCCCTCTTGGGGCCTTCTTGGGGGTTTCTTGGACCGTCATCGGGCCATCTTTCAGGCCTCGTGAGCGATTTTGGGGCGATTTTGGAGGCCTCTTGGGCCGCCTTGAGGTCTTCATAAGGCCGAAAAAAAGAACATGCGAACACAACTTCAACAACCTAAGGAAAAACAATGATTTTGGCATCCTCGGGCCATCTTTGTCACCACCCACCAAACCACCCCAACCCAACCCGAAGGCTCAGATTTACCCTCGATTTCCAGTGGGGGGGGGTCGGGAAACGTAGAAAAAAACACGTGTGGAACCCTTTACCCCCCCCAACCCGAAATTCGGGTCTTCGGGTTGGGCTGGGGTGGTCTGGCAGGTAGTCACCTTGAGGACCTCTTAGAGGCGTCTTGGGGGGCTCTTGGGGGCCTTTTGACTCTCAAGCGAGCTGAGGGACGCAAGGAGTGGAAGCGAGCGTGCGCCCGCGGCCGCGTCGGCTCAAGCGGCCGGCCGCCCAAATTTGACTGTGCCTCACTGCGAGGCACACAACCGCTATCGAGACCAAAAGGATTTGCCTATTGCTTGAGATGGCATCTCCTCTCAGCTGGGACTGTCGCTGCTACGATACAACAGAGCGGGGGCTTGGCCTCCTGGGCCTTCCAGCCCCCTCAAACTTGGTCGCGGAGCTGGGCTATGGTGGTCAGCTCTTGCTCTACTCCTCGCCATCCACGGCACTATCTGGTGGACTACAGATACTGTGTAAGATCAGGGTGCAGTTGGCTTGCGCGGAGGAGTTTACACAGTTACGCAGTACCGCAAGGAAACTTGCAGCGATACCTCTATCCAAGCGGAGGTCTCTCACTCACATCTCACATCCCTGCGCTATTACACTCCTGAAGTCAACCTACCTACTCCAATTGGAAATTTCCTCGAAGACATAATGCATGGAAACATGCGATACGATATAGCGCTGCCTCCGACCCCACGCAGACTTTCGACGGCAAAACGTAAGTCCCCACCGACTACATCCGACTACGACCTACGAGGCCACTGGATTGGGGTTACTATCTTTGGGCTCATATGGGTCTCTATTGGGTGTGCGGTAGGACATATGCGGGGCGGAGACGCTGCGTTGATGGTAAACACAGATGGCCAGACAGGCACGCGCGCTGACGAGGGTACGTTCATGAACATGCCGGTCGCATCTGCACCACGCCCGCACGTGCATAGCGATTACGCCGAGGCCTGGGCGTCCGAGAAGAACCTCACTACGGAGGAGGGGGCCCGCGGATACATGAACGTCTTCACGTCTCTGACAAGGAACGACTGGGTGTTGGAGCAGAGGCGCCGCAAGGGTACGCATGGTGCGACGCTGTCTGAAGTACAAGGTATATTCGGAGAACGCCATGAATTGGCCCTGGTCGCGAACAGCGGGACCATAGTGGATGGAATTTTGACGATCCTTATGGACATCGGCAGCAACATCAATATCGTTGGTCTGAAAACGGCACAGACGTTTGAGCGCGCATCCCGTTCCCATGGACACGACATCCAGAAGCTGAACCTGGCGAAGAGGCTCTACGTGTCTGGAGTGGGACATGGTGCCGTTGTATGCGACAAGTCTCTGCACTGCATAATTGCGCGCAAAGAAAATGCAGATCAGGCGGGGGCACCTGCTGTGCCGAGACTTGATACCTACTCAGCTAACGTGGCTGAGGGTTCAGGGGAAAATATCCATGCTACCCTGGGCATGAGGAGTATGTCTAACATGAGGGCGATCCTGATCTTGGAGCAGGGGCGCGAGCAGATGGTCATCCCCGGCTCTGGCATGTGCGAGCTCCTCCTTGGGAAGGGCGCCAGAGTATTTGATTTGATGAAAACGCCTGCAGGGCACCTGGCTCTCAAGGTCGACGAGTGCGGGGCCGCGGCTGAGGACAAAAGGTCGATGTCGCTTGCTATTGCGGCCAACCCTCACTGCGAGGGCGCCCCGCTGCTCGTCGAAGAGGCAGCTGGCGCAGCGCCGGCCGCGGGGCAAAATGCTTCGAGCAGCGCGGGGGCGCCAGCTTTGAGCGATGCCCATGCATGCATGATGTCTCAGGATACCAACGGCATCAGCCTCTCCATCAACGAAGAGAGGCTTGCTTTCACGATCCAGTCTTTGGTGAATCACACTTTGAAGACCTGGCGTCGCAGGCGCGCGCCCTTCGGGAGTGTTCCCGCACCGGCCGACCAGGTCTTCGCCTTGCGGAGCTTGCAGGCGAATGTCGATCAGGCCATCTACGAGGAGGGCAATGCGTGGATGCCGCCCGACGCGAAGGCAGGGGCACCTGTGGGAAGGGGATGATGCCGCTGAGAAGTTCTATCTGTTTACTTCGAGCAGCGGCTCGGCAGCGCTGCGTGGCACGGGCATTTCGACGCCCCCATCGCTTGAAAATGAGTGACGGGGGCTGGCGCGTGCCGCGGCCACCCGCGCTTGCCCCGACAGGCCGAGCACTCATGTTCTGTCATCTAGCGCGGGGAACCCTGCATTCTTTTCTCCGGCGCCGGCTGTGCGCGCCAGGGGCATTGGCAAGCCCGGTTGCGCGGCTGCCAAGGACAGCAGCGGGCCCGGCTGCGCGGCCCAGCACTACTACGATGAAGGAGATTTAGTTGATTACCATTGCCCCACGACCACGAAGGACGACTGAGGAGGCTGCAATGGCCCATCCCGACAGGGGTCAAGTCATCAATCGGGCGGAAAACCGGGACGGCCAGGCACAATCCGGCGATGCACGACAGCCACTCTACAGTGAAGCTTTGACGGCCAGAGAGATCGGCTCCGACAACGCCGCACTACGGACAGCGCCGACGTTCGTTGCCAGTTTACCTGCGGGGAGACCTGCTATGAGATATGGCTGTGTCCCGATCAAGAAGGGGACGCTTCAGATGACAAGTGCAAGCCGACTATCTCCTATGGTACACCTGGCTTTACAATGCCTTGCCAGAAGCTTCTTCCGCATTGAGAACGTAGTTTCCGTTAGGTTATCCAATCGTACCCGCGCATTACTTCCAGCGGCTTACGCTCGCAGCTGTACGTCGGTTTTCTATGACAACGATGTGAATCCAGGATTTCACGACCATGAAGCAGAAGGCACCGCTCTTAACATTCACGATGTGACTGGATCAGCACATTCAAGAGTCATCGAACGCCTGAAGTCCACCAAACCTCAAGCGGGCTTCGACCAGGATATGACGGAACCGCAAGAGAAGCCCCAGAAGCCGAACCACCACAGGAGGATGGACAGCTTCCCGCGATATATGACGAAACGGAGGCTGACCTTGATGCACATCTCATGCAAGTGTGATATACAGAACTACAAGATGTAACGGGAATCCTGGAGTCAACTGCAATATTGGGACCTTCTCACAGAACCCGCGCAGATGATTCCAGACAACAGTGCGCTGATCACTGTAGCTGAAGAACAGCGGGGGCACCTGCCGAAGTGGGGGCACCCACGCGACCCCGACATCGAGGAGAAGTATCATGTCCCACCGTGCTCCACGGTCGAAGATTGCTGTCGCGGACTGGATTCAGACGAAAAACGGACAATATTTAGAACTCTGCTTCACGGCAGAAATGTCAAAGGTAGTCTTATCCGAACAACAGCACGTAATATTTGATGCCGACCGTGTTACCACCATGCGAGTATATATTGCCGCCGCTGCAAAGCGAGCTGCGGTCGTCAAGGAAGACGACCTCCTCGCGAAGGCTGACATCGAGGCGAATCCCGAAGGAGTATCGAAAGCCCGATGCACTGAATTCAAGACATGGGTTGACAAAGTGCTTCATAATGCTAGCTAGCTAGGTATATCTAAAGGGTCAAACATCAGGACTTCGAGGTGCGTGCACAAATCGAAGTTTGTGAAGAAGAAGAGTGGTGAGATGGAACGTGCCATCATATTGCACCTGGTGCCTCGAGGCTTCATGGATCTTGAAGCCTTCGACGTGGAAACCTCCCCAGGAACAGCACGGCGGCCAGGCCAGAGACTACTCGCGAGCGCGGCAGCGCGCAAGAAGCAATGGATCATTGCTCCCCTCGACATCAACGCGGCCTTCCTGAAAAGATTGGCCTGCCAGGAATTTGCTGAGGCAACTGGTGAGAAAGAACGCGCGGTGTGCTTTGCTCTGCCGCCTGGATCGGCGACGGCGCTTCGACCGCTTCCAGAAATCGAGCGCCACGACGAGTCGAAGCACTGCTTGCCGTGCCTCGAGCCAGGTACTTGCACTAAGGACGCACCTCGAGCTTTTTCACGGAAGCTCATATGGACCACGAGAGGCTTCGGTCTCAGACCCACGTCCCACGACGAGGAGTTCGAGACGAGCAGCAACCTGCTCACGGCCAAACATGTCGATGACATCAATGTGGCCAGCACAGAGGACTCCATTGACAAGTGCGCCAATCGCGTAGAAGACACATGTGGCAAGCGTGAACTCAACAAGCACACATTCACCAATTGTGGTGTGATATATACCAAGGAAGAGGACGGCAGCGTTGCGTTGGCCCAATACGAATACATCAATCAGCTCCGTCCTATACAACATCCTAAACTTACAGGCGCCGACGCTAACGCCCAAGCATCCAAGATGGTTGCAGACATGTCTGTCAGCCTCAGAGGCGCATCGGCGCATGCACGAATCACCCGTGCGCTGTTGACGGCATATGCTGTTTCTCTACGACGCGCCCAAGAACCGACCAACATGCAAGTGGGACGACTGAGCGCGATTACCAGGAAATTGCAGGCCTGCCCTAAGCAGATCGCCTACCAAGCGATGACTCCCACGGGCGAAGTTGACCTGCACAGCGACTCGGGTTATCGACGCTTGAGTGGAGATGCCGATAACGAAGCCAAAGGCTATGGCACTCGCGGGGCACACCTGCTACGGCGTGTTGGTACGCCATCCGGCAAGCCTGTCGTTTCTGTGATCGATGCGCGCTGCAAATCTCGCCGCTTGCAGGTCCGCTCGAACTATTCAGCAGAGACACTAGAAGCAGCCCACAAGTTGGAAGACTGCTATTCCACGATCGTGGCTCTGCGCGAGCTCCACGCAGGGCCGCTAACTCCTACTCAGTTGAAAAAGAAAACATACTTGAGTTGGGTGGCCTGAGAATCAAGGTCACTTTGACCATAGGTGTTGGGGCTGCTTTTGGGTCCTTGTCAACCAACGACTTGAAGAAGCCGACGGAGCGTTCCCTTTTAGGACACATCAGTTGGGTACGACAGATGATGGAGCGAGGAATCGCGCACAGTATTCAGTGGTGTGACACCCACGATAGGACCGCGGACGGTCACACCAAGGGGAGCATCGACAGAAACATGCTCCTACAGGTCGTGGGATGTACGCAATCCTTCAAACATGGCTTAAAGCGTCATGCTCCTTATCGGGCTGGCCAAACATCTCGGTCTGCTGCCGCCTGAGGAGGACTCGTATGCACAGTTCAGTGCAGGCAAGGCAACTTGCGCGTGGGTCCACCTTCCTTACGGCCCCGCCCTTTTGCTGCCCCTTTTTGTACATAATAGCTGCTGTATCTGCTGTATACAGGCGGCGGGCTCACGCTTCGTCTCCCCCCCCCCGAATCTAAAGTGAGCTGGGCGATGCAGGTGAGTGGGAACGAGCGTGCGCCTGCGGCCGCTTGGCTCAAAGCGGCCCGCCGCCTAGATCTGACTACACCGCAGTGCGAGTTGTAGTATTTGCCATCGATACCACAATTGCTTGAGATGGCTCGCCTCCTACGATTGGGTCTGTCGCTACTACGGTACAGCAGAGCAGGAGCTTGGCTTCGCATGAGGCGGAGCTGCTGGTTGGGCCTCCCAACCCTTTTCGAATTAAAGGAAGCAGATGCAACAATCCTTCAACCACTTAAAGGACACCCATGTTTTTTTGCTTTTCTGGCCTTCCTGCAGGCCCCCTTGGAGGCCTCTTGGACAGTCTTGGGCCAGCCTCGAGCCAATTTCGGCCATCTTGGTAGGTTCCTGACGCGTCTGACGCCGTCGGGAGCCGTCTTTGGAGCCTCTCTGGGCCGACGTGAGGCCTTCTTGAGGTGCTCCGGGGCCGTCTTAGAAGCCATCATGGGCGTCTTGGAGGCCTCTTGGCCCGTCTTGGGGCCCTCTGGGGGCCGTCTTGGGGGCCTCTTGGGCCGTCATGGGGCCATCTTGGGGGCCTCGTGGGCGATCTTGGGGCGATATTGGGGGCTTCTTGGGCCGTCTTGAGCAGTCGGAATGCCGAGAAGAAGCGAATTTCAAAATCCTTCAAAACCCTACGGACAATCAATGCTTTTGGCCTCTTCGGGCCCTCCCTGAGGACCTCCTGGAGGCCTCTTGGGTCGTCTTGGGCCGTCTTTGAGGCCTCTTGGGCGAACGTGGAGGTATCTTGCACTCTCTTGGGCCGTCTTGGAGGTCGTCTTGGACCATCGTGGGCGGACTTGGGAACCATCTTGGGCCATATTGGAGGCCATCTTGGGCCAACGTGGCCATCTTGGAGGCCATCTTAGGCGAACGAATGGGGAATTGTGCTCCTTTTCGGGTAGCCCGCGGGACGGGCCGAAACCCCAGGGGAAGTTCTTGCGGAAAAGAACCAACACCAAAACCGAAATAATCTAGCACGCCGGGCACCCATGTGGCAAGCCAACAGGGGGCGGCGGATCGAACGGCATTCGGCCCATCACGCCACCGTGTCTGGGTTGTGGGTTTGAGGCCTCTTGGATGGCGGTTGGGATCTCGTCGAGGCCTCTCGGGCGCCTCGTGGAGGCAGTTCTGAGGCTTCGCGGGGGCTGCTTTTTGGGCCTCTTGGGACCTCGGGCCGCCCATCTATTCTGTCTTGTAGCTGTGGGAAGCGTTCACGGCGAACGCGCGCGCACGCGGGTGAAGGCAAGTGCCACTTTATGAAGCCCTGCCCCCCTACATCTCAGTAGCTGCTGGAAACGTTCGCGACGGCGGCGCGGCGGCAGCGTGAGAGCCATATTATGGACATCGGTCCTCCCTCATCGTCTTACAGTCGAGGCTGATTAGCAGGTCAACCCTGCCAAATCAACAATACCCTGGTGTCCAGCGGTTTGCGACCCATGCCTTTTTTACATGCCTATGGCAATGCCGACCTCGGAAGAGTCTCGTGTCCTCTCGCGTATCCTCTTCAATCAACCCCGACTGCAATTGATGATGCATACGAGGATGAAGAGGGGATAGGGAAGGGGGACGGAGGGGGAGGAGCAGGTCCGGTTCCGAGGAGGAGATGAGCGGAGGAGGGGAGGGATCAGGAGCAGGAGGCGAATGGTCTGAACGCCCACCATGTGCGCAGGAGCGGCGTGGCCGCCTTCAGCACCGCGGACAGCAGATCCCCCCCCTGCGCGACGCCCTCGCGGACGTCCACCAAGGTCGGGCGCTCTCCAGGCCCGTCTCGGGCACTCGGGACCCACGGAAAACACAACCAACGGACTTCAAGCCACACGAGGGAGATGAGCTCGTCAGCTTGTGAGGACCTCCGAGAGCAGACTGTTCCACGTCGAGCGATCCACGCAGCTTCAGGAGCTGAGGCAGGCGCTGCAACGGCAGGAGCTCGCCGTTCCCGTGCATCCTTGCCTCCTCGGCCCGTCCTGACGCCATCGATCCTAGAGCTGTTCGCCCGATGCCGCTGCAGTGGAGACCGTCACGATTGTCTCTGAGATGCAGAATTGCCCCTGGTATTCGAAATTCCTTTCTAACTCCTGGAAATTCCTTATCCCATTCCTTTCTAACTCCTTTCTCCTTCCTGGCCCTGGCGCTTCTCGGGCAATTATGATTCGATTGTCTCTGAGATGCAGACTTACCCCTGTTATTCGAAATTCCTTTCCAACTCCGGAAAATCGATTTCGCATTCCTTTCTAACTTCTTTTTTCTTCCTGGCCCAGGCGCTTTTCGGGCAATTCAGATTCGATTGTCTCTGAGATGCAGAATTACCCCTGGTATTCGAAATTCCTTTCTAACTTCTGGGAATTCCTTATTAAATTCCTCTCTAACTGGTTTTTTCCTTCCTGGCCCTAGCGCTTCTCGGGCAATTATGATTCGATTGTCTCTGAGATGCAGAATTACCCCTGGCATTCGGAATTTCTGTCAAACTCTGGAAATTCCGCATCACATTTCTTTCTAACTTTTTGGGGGGCCTGGTCCTTTTCGGACAACCCCTTGGAATTCATAACCCTCTCAGGCCGCCGTGCGCTAGCTTCGTCGCATCTACAGCATGCCCGCCGCTGATAATTATTTACTGTAGCACCCTACAGTACAGCTACAACATTAATTGTTCAGCGAATTATTAATGTAGTTTAAAAGTATAGCATATTGCCCCCCCTCACCCTCTCCGCCACGCGCGACCGACCCTGCCGCCGTTTTGCTGGCCTCGCGCTGGGGGTGGGAGAGGCGTGTGGACCTCGACCCTGCGGAGAACGTGCAGCGATGCGCCGGCCGGCACCGTCAACAGGCGCAGGTCGCACGGGCTGGAGCGTGCTGGAGCCGGCTGGGGTCGAGGTGCTGCGTTGGAAAAGGCTGTTGTTTTTCTGTCGATCCTTGGGGCCCGTTTTCGGGCTGGGACCGTCAAAAGAGATCGGGCTGGACCGCGGGAGTGGCCCGAGAACAAGTTTTGATCGGATTTGTCGGTCGCCCCGGCAGACGCCAAATCTCCAGCAGCAATTCAATTCGGCCACGAAAAAGTGGACCAGGCTGAACTCGCCCAGGCCTCGGCCAGGCTGAGCTCAGCCGAGCTAACTTCGACCCGAGCCGAGTTCAGGCTGGCCGAGCTTCGCCTGGCCGAGCTTTTACCTTGTCGCTCTGCTCCCTCTCCCAAAGAAAATCCGGGGCACCAGAAGGGGCGTCGACGACCCCCAGGAGACAGGCGTGGTGCACGATTCGCCGCGAAGACAGGGGATCCAGAGGGGGAGAGGGGTCCTGTGGCTTCTAGCCATTTCGGGCTCCCTGAGCCCTTCTCGGGCCCTGGGGCCGTCGGCAAAGGGCTCAGGATGAAGTTCTGGTCGTCGGTGCTCATGGGGGATTCGGGCTCGGCGTGCAGATGTCTCGAAGACTTGAAGGGCAAATTGAAACGAGTGACGATAAAGAGGGGATCGAGATGAGATGCTCCGGGGGAGGAGGACCAAACTGGCCCCAGGATGCAACAACGATGCTGCAATAATTTCACCCTCCTATCCCAGGCCCCCTTCTCATAAGTCCCTACGTGCTAGAGTTGGAACCGACCTCTTGGAAGACGGTTGCCCCAAGTGCCTGCCATTCAGGCGAGATCTTGGTTTTGGTTGAAAGGGAACGTCCTTTCATGCTTCCAGCTAGAAGGAATGCCAGAGGTCGGATCAGGACGATCAAGAAAGTGTCCAGCGAGATCCCCGTTTTGAAGGGAGAACTGCCATCCACCAGTGTAGCAGGAATATCCGTCCATCCGTGTATATGTTGAACATGCTAAGCCTTGGTCGTACAGTTCGATAAAATCTCACGCGATAATGTGCGCGGCGCTAAGACGAGGACCACATTTGTGAACATTGGCCACTCTCCATCCGTCTAGTTGTTGGGGAGCTTGAAAGACGATTGTGTGCGGCCGCATGCGCCATGACAAGAGGCTCATATTGGAATGCATTCGATTATATTGGTGTAGCCGCTGGAATCGTTCAGGATGAATGCGCGTGTTGGTGAGTCGGGAGCTTCATATTGAACACCACTCGCCCTTCCTCCATGTACTGTTTGGAGGTTTCGAGATTGCGTGTCATGAAAGTGTGTTGGATGCTTCCGTTGAATCGTTCATAGTATCTACTCATGGGAAGTGGCCGTGGTGGTGGTGGAGGAGGAGGAGGAGGAGAAGGGAGGATTGATAGGCAGGATGAGGGAGGAGCAATGTGGGAGAAAGGTCGGAGGTGCGCGGATGGAGAGGGGAGAAGAGGAAGGGGAGTACGGGGTAGGATACTTCACAGTAGGAGGATGGAAGAGGGAAACTCAGCTGTGGGGGCGCGGATGGATGGAGGAGCAGGACCGAAGATCAGGGAGGGAGAGGTTGCGGGAGGGGCAGGACAGGAAGGAGGAGGTGGAGAAGGAGGTCGACGAGGAGGTGGAGGAGGGAGAGGGAGGGGGAGGAGGATGCAGGAGGAGGATTAGGGAGGACGGAGGGCGGGTAAGGAGGCAGGAGTGACGGGGATGGACGAGAGGGAGGTGGGAGAAAGGGGGTGGGGGGATGCGGAGAAGGGGGGGGGTGCTACCCCTCCTCCCTCCTCCTCCGCCCTCCGCCTCCGCCTCCATTCCCACTCCTCCTCCTCCTCCCTACGGAGGGAGGGAAGGCTGGCGAGAGACGCGGGATCCCCCGGTGCCTTGGCCTGCGGAGGTCACACCCCAACGCCGACGGCGGTGCGACGCACCGCCACCGCTGCCGTCCCAGCTGCCCCTCGCCTCCTCTCGGCCTCTCCTAATCGCCCAGACCGTTGCTTCTGGGATGCTCTGAAATCGAACGATACTGAAAGCATGCGCACCCCTCCTATCCCTGGCCTCGATGCCATCCTCTAAGACCCCAGTGACACTCAGGTGGAAGGGGGCTCCCAAGATTTCAAAGGGCTCGACGTCTGTATCGACGGCTCGTGCGCTCGCCGTACCATCCGTGAGTTTCCCGACCGTCTTATACTATGCTTGTGTCTTTTCGATCATGGAGGAAGTGAGACGTCTTGCAGCGGACTCCGCAGTTAGCGGAGCACCAGGCCATGCTTGTATGTTTTTGTCGTTGAGCCAGGAGGAGACCGTGATCGCGATTGCATGGCGGTTGTTAGATTATGTCAGACGTCTCCTACGCACCAAGTGTTGCGCAAGCGCCGGTATCAATGCGGGCATGGGGAGTGGAGCCATTTTGCATAAGAAGAATCGCCATGAGTTTCGGGTCTGCCAAATCCCTGCTCATAAGTGCCGTCGGTCCTTGACAGCCTCCGTGAGCCCCAAATGAGTAACAGTACGGGCAACCTTAACGCCGATTCGTTATCTAAGCAAGCCCTCCACCTCCACCCTCAACCTGCTCAGGCCTGGACCAGTATTGTCAAGTACATGATTAATCTAAAGGCTGCCGCCTCTGCCGCCGACCCCAAAATGGGCCCGTTGGGTGTTCATCACTCTATTCGGGCTTTTCCTCCTGAGTCGTCGTGATGTTTGCGACAGTAAAGTTGATTCCGACGGCTGTCTTCCAACGGGACGCTTCCCGTAGTAAAAACAGTGTTGTACAGGAATTTATGGAAAGATAATTTGGAGGGAGAGTTTATCGTAACACTGCTGATGAGTCCTAACATCCTCCTCCTTTTCCTCCTCCTTTTCCCGAGGCGGAGACCACAGCGTGATTGGCAGCGAAGTCCATCACATACATCCAGAGGCAGAGAAGGGGGAGGAGGGGGGGCCCAGCGCCGGTTACCTCGCCAAGGCACTCGCCAATTTCCCAGATCCTCGGAGGATCCTGGGGGGTCCTGGAGGTTTTTCTTGGCCTTGGGACATATTCCATCGATTCGCTTCGTCGCTTTGGGGCTGGGGTATTATGAAGGCCTTACGGCCAATGCCGCCATCCTTGAAGACGACGACGACGAGGACGAGGACGACGGCGACGGCGACGACGGGCACAACGCCGACGGGGCTCTTGGGAGCGTCTTGGGGGCCTGTTGGGGGGGCTCATGGGGGCCTCTTGGGGCCTCTTTTGGGCGTCTTGGTTGTCTCTTGGGGTCTCTTGGAGGTCTATTGGGAGCCTCTTGGGGCCTCTAGGGGCGGAAGGCTCGACTTGTCCATTCGCGGTCCCTGTCTGGCGCCCTTCGTGGGGCCTTCTTGAGACGTCTTGGGCGGCCCATGGGCTGTCTTGGGGCTCTCTTGGCCGTCTTGGGACCCTCTTGGGGCCCTCTTGGGCCGTCTTTGCGCGATTTTGGGGACCTCCTGGGCCGTCTTGGAGCGTCGGAAAGCCGAAAAGGCGGAAACGCACACATCCTTCAAGAACCGCAGCAATATCAATGATTTGTCCCTCTTGGGTTCCTCTTGGGACGCCTCTTTGGGCGCTCTTGCGGCGTCTTGGGGGCCTCCTGGGCCGTCTTGAGGGGATCGCACGCATGCCAAACTGGATGCCCCCCCGTCTTCCCGCTACAAAGGAATCCAACTAGAAAATGGGATCCCAGGAATCTTCTGGAACGCGTTAAACAGGGATTTGGTTGGAACGCGCTATGGAGAGACAGCGCAGCTATGGAAATCTCGAGAACTCTATGTACAATTGCTGGCAGAACAACGACATACCAAAGCAATGGCGAGAAACCTCAACGGTATCCATCCTCAAGAAGGGCGACACCTCCGAGCCGGGCAACTACTGGCCCATTTCTCTGTTGGCGGTGGGCTACAACATTTTGGCCGACATCATATTACATATATTCAAACATCGATGTGCATAGGAACACTTGCGGGGACCTCAATACGGAATCTGGGCCGCACGGGGCACCATGGACGCGTTGTTCTTGGTGGAGGACAAAACCGGTTCATCACGAATTTTCTTGCAGGATTGGAGCAAGGCGTTTGATCGCATAAAGCCCAACGGACGATTGTTCGCATTTCGGCATTCCAAGGTACCGCCCGAGATGCTGCGCATGACTGTTGCCATCTACAAGGTGCGCAAACTCATCGTCAGAGACGGGGCGGCAAATTTGTTGCACAGGCTTCCAGAAGCTGGGTTTGCGCAGTGGTGCCCGCTATCGTCCTGTGTATTAGTAATCGTAGTCTCTGAGCTTCTCGAGACTGTCGACGCAAGGGTCCCCACGCAGCCTGTCAACGCAAAAGACAAGCCCTACGTGGTCACCCAGGACGTGTTTTGCGCTGGTGGCACGCTGCTGGCCTCGCAGCGCCGGGACTCCTTTCAAAGGCCTTTTCCACATACTCTCACATTTCGGGAGATCATCCGGATTGGACCTCAACGAAGGCAAGACGCTTTTACCGATAATCAGATCGGATAACACAGTCGTGGGGCCCAAGGGAGAAGCAATTCAAACGAAAAATAGCGTCGTGTATCCCGGTGGCCTTTTGAGCGCAGACGGCAAGGCAACAGCTGAAATCGCGCGGCGTTTCGGGGAGGCGAACAGGGGCATTTGGGAATCTTTGCGCTGTATGGAACCACGCGAGCACGACCAATCAGCACAACCTACGAGCTCTGCAGGCATGTGCCTTCCCCAAATTATTGCATGTATTGGAGTCTTGCGTGCTGCTGAAAGCCACCCAAGACATATTGGACGGGCTTTAAGCCATTTGTCTTCGCAACATACGGAACATCCAACCGGCATTCCTGTCCCGGATCAGCAATGCGCGCGCGACGCGCACGTCTGTCCATCATCAGTTCTTCTATTGGAGCGAGAGTTCCCCCGCAATCGATTCCGACTGCGATGGTTTCCCAGCCAGGCCAGAATTCTGCAATGCCGCGAGACTGGCGCCCCCGCGCGCAGGGCGTTGCAGAAGACGACATTGACCGCCTGCGCGTTGTGTTACCATCCCCTCAAAGCAGTTGGGACGCAGATGCCGATGAATATTGTATCTCTTCAGTGTGATATTGTTGCGTTCTCCCCCCTCCTTTCTCCCCGCCCCCCCTCCTCCTCGCCCCCTCCTACCCGGGAGCGTTGCTGATCACCCTCGCGCGCCATCGGTGCAGAGGTTGCAGGCGGTCGAACTTCGAGGCGCAGTAGCCGTTCCCAGACATTGCGTGTAGTTATTATTTTGCCGATGCGCCGTCCAGGCGTGGTTCTTGAGTCTCGCAGTCGGAATCTTCTGGGACGTGCTACAAAAGGCTTGATGATTGGAAAGTGAAATATACGAAATCGTTGCCACAGCTTTACAAAAGGGACCCCTTACAAACGTTCACCCCCTGGTGAAACAGATGCGCATCATATCCCCATCTCGATGCCCATCCCCCGTTCAGACTGATGCCCACCTAGATGCCCATGCCCCGTTCTGGACAGATGCCCATCTCGATGCCCACGTGGATGCCCATCCCTCCTGCGGGCAGATAATCACGCGGACGCCCGCGTGGATGCCCATCACCCCCCCAGAAAGATGCCCGTCAGCATCGGCGCCGAGAGTACCTGAATGCATCACAAAAGACGCACATACAGACATTGCCACAAACAAGATCCCGCCGTGCCCGTCCAACCCGCCCGTTGGGGCCCGCTTGCTTGACCTGACGCGCCCGTTGGGGCATGCCCGAACTATTTCGCTTATGCATCATAGTTTCACGTTCCACCCGCCCGCGTCGCCGCCCGCCCGCCCGCGAGGGCCCCGCCCGCTGCCTGATCGGCCCGCCCGCGAGGGTCCGTCCGCCCGACCAGACGCGCCCGTTGATGCACGCAAGTGCTACTGCGAGTGTGCGATCTATTTCGACGTCCTGCCCGTCTGACCCGCCGCCCGCCCGCGGCCCGACCCGCTTGCCAGTGAGAGTCCGCCCGCTTGACCCAACACACCCGTTAGAGTACGCCCGTGCTACTTCAGGTACGCGTTGCATTTTAATATCCCGCTCGTCTCGCCGCCCGCCCGCCTGGCCGTTTGGGCCCCGTTTGTCGCCCAGCCCGCCCGACCACCGGGGTCTGCCCGCCTGACCCGACCCGCCCGTTAGGGCACCTTTATGTTCACGCGCCGTATCTTACTGTCCCGCGCTCGTGACCCGCCCGTTGGGGCCCTGCCCGCCGCCCGTCCCGCGCGCTACCTCGAGCATGCGTCATACTTTGACGTCCTGTCCGCCTGTTAGGGCTCTCGCGTGCCAGCGCGAAAAAACACCATGCGTTTGCGGCCCGTCCGCCCGACCCGACCCGCTTGGGAGGGGCCGCCTGGCCCGACCCGACTCGCCCGTTGCGGCATTTGCGCGCCAATTCGGAGATGCATTCTGCTTCAATGTCCCGCCCGCCCGACTTGGCCCGCTCGCCCGCCCGCCGCCCGCATATGCATCTTACATTCATGTCTGGCACGCCCGGCCCTGCCCTCCTCCCTTCAGATAGGGCCCGCCCATCGGATCCGACCCGCCCGTCAGGGTACTTGCGCGCCAAGGCGATGATGCATCATATTTTAACGTCCCTCCTGCCCGATCCGATTCACTTGGTGGGGTATTTGCGCGCCAGCGCGATGATGCATCATATATTGGTGTCCCGCCCATGAGACCCGACCCGCCCGCCAGGGTGCGCTCGCCCGGCCCGACCCGCCCGTTGGGGGTCGTCCTCCGCCCGATCCGACCCGCCCGTCAGGGTGCTCGCGCGCCCACACGATGGCGCATCACACTTTAATGTCCCGCCGGCCCGACCCGACCCGCCCGATAGATAGGGCTCGCCCGCCCGCCCGCGAGCGCATGTGCGTGCCAACGCGAGGATGCGCTATAC